ACTTCCTAAAGAGTGTCGCCTGGGTCCCTGCAATGGAACCAATGCTTCAGCTTTAGCTTCCACATATCTTAACAAAGTGACATAGATGAAACTACATCCTGCCAGGATGCCTCTCTTCTGGATTGCAAACTTCCTCAAGATGGAGAATATATCTGTTGTATCTACAGCCCCAAGGCCTAGCACAATGCCAAAGCACACAATAAATATTGTTGAATGAAAAGCTTAATGGTGCCGTGGTTCTTGTTCACGAAGCCGAAGAATGAGCTTCACAAACACTCAAGGTGCGAGAGACAGGTACAGGCTTTTATTTAGAGATAAAGTGAGAGAATAGAGCTCCTGGCTCACGCCAGGAGGGGACAAGAGAGCGCATAGTGGTGCGTTATCTAGGGGGTTTTATAGGCAGTTCAGGATTTTTCTAGAACATGAAAAAAACTTAGGGGTGTGGACTTGTTAAGTGGGCCCTGAATATTTAGAATTAACAACACAAGCAACTTCCTCTGAAGATTTCTCTCTGAGATACCAGCATCTTGGTCTGGGAGCACATGAAACAAGGCCACCTGTTCAGCCCCCAAGGTGGGCTGAGGTATTGTTTGCTAAAGAGTAAGTTAAGAATTTCTAACAACTTAACTTCTTGGGTATTAAAATGCAATCTTATCTTTAAGGTGAATCTTTCTTGCCTTTTACTGTGTTGTTTATGCCTGGGCTTACATGCTGAATTAGTTGCCCAGTTTGCAAAATCACTTCATCAGATCTGAAGGAGGAAAGACAGCACATAAGCCTGGGCCTTTTAGTATGCTAAAGTGAATCTTACACATGTTTATAAATGGTTAGCGTAATAAAACATTGCTACTCTTCTTTATCTGGAGAACATTAACTGATCTCACTGAAGAATGATTCTAGAGCTTAATGTTTAACATAGAATTTTAGTAGGGGGGTTTCCTTGCATGTAGTTACATTGCTCTGACTGCAAATATCCCACCCTGACCCCTCCGGAGGCCCTCACCCTACTATGACTACATCCAGGGTCCTTGTCTCCTTAACTAAATGAATGAATTACTGATCATCTTCCCCTTTCTTACTGAAGAAAATATTTTAGAATTCATTCATTCATATCTTGAATATTACTGTGAGCTCCTAAAGGAGAGAACTGGGGCAAAATGGAAGCTCTGAGAAGCAAACACTGGTTTTCTGGTTAAATTGATTTTGGCCAGTGATTCTTATTCAAAACATTTTTAAATGCTCCTTAGATATTAGAGGCAGTATCTAAAGTAAATAAATACACATTTTGTTGGTATTTTTTTAAACAAAACCAGTCGAGTTTCTTAAAGATAAACGAATTTGAATCTTAAAAATAGTAAGTACACACACTATAAAGAAAATGCAGTCTCAAGCACATAACAGCCATAAAGACAGTTTTTTAAAAAACTATCAGGTCATTTTTTAATGATATCTAAAACTCTTCAACAATTTACCATTGATTTTAGGTTAAGATCCAAAATCTCTAATATGAACTACAAGGTAATTTGTTGGTTCATTCAAGAAATATCAATTGTCTATCATGTATTTTAGACTTGGAAAACAAGGCAGTGAAGGGGTGGGGCAAAGGCTCAGTTCCCACAGAACAGAACACTGGAGGCAGTCCAGTGGGAACACTGACAGACTATAAAAAGAAAAGGAAATAAAATCAATAAGCAACATAAATAAACAAGGTAAGTTTCTATGAGATAAGTGCTATGAAGAAAACAGATTTTCTAGAGAAATTGAGCGTTTTTCCAGATACTCAGCCTCCATTTTCTCACCCCAGGGAAGAATTTGTACAGGTTAGTCCTCCCCGAGGTCTCCTCCCTCATTTTCCGTCCCTTCCTCTATCATCTTCCTTTCCTTCCTAACAATCATTATTCAAGTCTCAGCTAAAAAAAAAAGAAGAAGGCAATTCTCTAAGTTAAATGTTCCCTTTATATACCCCTCCCATTGCACTCACATGTTCCTAACATTTATAAGTATTTGTTCTATGTCTGGCCACAAGGACAGGGTCTTGTTTGTGGTTTACCAATCTATTCCCAGCAACCTGCATGTAGTAGATGATCAACACATTTTGTTGAATAAATGAACAGAAGGAAGATTAGGAAGTTCTTTTTTTTTTTTTCCTGTTAAGGTACATTTCACCAGGAAGGAGTAAAAACCACTTGAACATTGCACACGTGTAAAAAGTGCATGGGAGAGAAATGCAACTAAGCCTGAATAGAAACTGAATAAGAATTATACAGTGGTTGCTTTCTTGGGTTCTGGGGTGGCACTGAATACCATTATGGGATAAACCACTTTACAAAGTTACTTCTACAACTTCTTATAAAACAGCATAGAAGAATACATGGAAGACAGAAAGGAAGGAAGGAAAGAAGGAAGGGTATAGTTGAATGAAGCACGGAAGGAATAATGGATGGATGGGGAAATTCTTTTTTTTCACATTCAGATTTTTCTTTCAAAATGAAAATCACCCTTCCTCCCAATACTAATACATGTACATTGTAAAATATTCAACACAATACAAAAAGAAGAAGTTAAAATGACTAATAATCCCTTCACATTTTATTTGTATGCATACTAATCTAGACTTTTTTCTATGATTTACACCTTTTTAATATAAAAATGGAATCATACATGTTAGTTTATAAATTGCTCTTTTCCTTAAAAATGTAACATATTTTGAGATTTAGTTACTCATTTTTAATGGCTATGTAGGAGTCCATTATGTAGATGTATTGCAAAGTATTTAATTGTTGAATAATAATTTTTCTGTTTTCACTATTTCAATATTATAAACCTCACTGTGATTAAAATCTTCCTACATTCATTACATACATCTTTGCAAACCCGCCCACTTCTTCGCCTTAAAATAAAATTTTTATGTGCATTTGTTCGAATAGTATTGGTATATTGAGGCATTTGATACACATATCACAATGTATCAATTTGTACCAGTAAGCATACAAGTGTGCCCATTTCAGAGGATCTTCATCAACTCTTAATATTGTGAAATGTTTAATCTTTGACATTGAGAGGCAAAACGGAGGAATCAGTTTTTATTTCCATTTCTGATTGCTAGTGAGATTGCACATATTACCATATGCTTATTACCTAAATGTTTTCTCCTTTTTTGAATTGCCTATTCATGTCTTTTTCAGATTTTTAAATTGGGGTATTTATCTTTTTAAAAATCAATTTATAATAGTCCTTTATAGACTGCTGATATTATCCATATGTTTACATTTTTATCATATATGTAGCATTTCTGTCAAAATGCCATTTTTCTTTAAATTTTATTAAAACTAGTATTACCCCTTACTTGTCATATGTCATGTTGAAATTTTTTTCCAGTTTTTCATTTGTCTTAACTTTACTAGCCTTGTGTTTTGACATTCAGAAGCTTTACTTTTATTTCTGAAGTCGTATTTCACAGCAATTCCTTGTATGGATTTTGTATGGTGTCTAGAAAGTCTTGCCATGTTCCCAAGGCTATAAACATATTAACTAACATTTTCCTCTGCTTCTTTTATGATTTTATATTTTATGTTAGGCCACATTTGCTTCAAGAATACATCAAGGAGTGGCTAATGTACTGCCATAAGCTCAAAATCAGGCTTAATAGCCATTGCAGGCCACTGAATTCATTTTACACATTCTATGTAAAAGTTCTGGTATATGATTATGTAACATAAGACAAAAACTGAGTAGAGACACAGCACCAAACTCTAATACACGTACTGTCAAAAATGTCAATATCAAGCTTGCTGGAAAGTAGGAGGGATATTGTAATAGCCTGGAGTGAAACACTAATGTTCCAGGCTGATTAAATGGCTATCACGCTGACGGGGTTGGGGGCAGGCGGTGAGCGGCAGAGGAGGCACTGTCTCAAAAAATACTTGACTGCCTGCTATGAGCTCGCAGGAAATGTAACTTAACAAAACGAAGAAATTTGCTCTTAAGAGGAAGAGGTAAATAAAGGATTATATTAAGTGCTTTAAAGAGAATTAAGCAGGGAACTTATTTCAAGTAGGTTGGCTAGGGAAGTCTACGAAGGTGACAGCTGAGAAGAGACTGGGATGATGAGCACGAAGATATAAAAGGAAATATTCCAGCTTATGTAAAGTTGTAGAGATGGGGAAAGTTTGGTTTGTTGGAAGCAGAGTAAGAAAGATAGTGTAGCTGGAGTATTACTGCAAACAGAAAAATGGAAAAAGAAACACGGCCACATCTTAAAACGGTAAGGCGGTTTTTCTTTAACTGTGAACACCAGAGCTGGATGTTATGTGGCTCATTCCCTAGCTTCCTTCAAGCACTACCATCTAAGAAAGGCCTTCCGTAACAGCTCTTTTACAAATTCCAGTGTTATCAGATTTTCTCACCCTTGTGCAATCACCGCCCCTTTTCAAGTATTTCAAGAGTTACCATCTCAGGCCATCTCTGATCATTCCTTTTAAAGCTGCAATTCCCGGATCCCCTCACCCCCGCTTTGTTTTTCTGTCTCGCATTTACCACCAGTTATAGTAATAACTGTCCCTCCGCCAAGTAGAAAACAAAGATCCAGGAGAACTGGGATTTGGGGCTGCTTTAAATTTCCGCTGTATCCCCAACATCTACAGCAGCGCTTGACGTACAGAGGACACCTAATAAATAGATGCCGAATTGTGAAACCGACGTCAGGTTGGAGTAGCACCGCCTGTCTCGCTCTCTGCGAAGCGCTTCACGCAGTCTGAGGCTGACGTCCTCCAGCTTTCAAAATGGGAAGACCGAGATTCCCACCGGTCTCGAACGCAAGTTTCTCGCCACAATTCAAAATGGCGGAGGAGGGTGGGGCTGTCACGTGGTGGGCGGTGCGGCGGCTTTCCTTTTCCAGACCGCGGCCCTCCTGGTGGCGTAGCAGGCTGTTCGCCTCTTCCTCCCGCCGAGCCTTTCCGAGGACTCGCCTGGGATTGGCTCACGAGCTGGGAGTGGGGATGTGGGTCTGGACCGCGGCATCATCACTTCCTGTTGTGGGCAGGCGTTTCCTGTCGCTGCTTGGTAACAATGGGGAAGATAATGGCTGCCTGAGCAACGTCTCCTAGCAGGCGCTGGACTAGAGGCGGGTCTCCACCAGCGACTCATTGGAGGCGGGCCTGAGAGCGGCGGCAGGGGAGGCGCGCAGGAGCCTCGGCGGCGGTGGCCGAACCGACCGGGTCGGATCCCGACACTAAAACCGAGTAAGTGAAGCCTTGGGAATACGCTGAGAAATGGATGGAGAGCGAAAGGAAGACAGCAGAGCTGTGGCTGCTTCGGTCTCTCAAAATGGCCTAAGTGGTGCGTCGTGGCGGGGGCTCAGCGCCGCCTCCGGACCCCAGGCGCCGGCTGCTGCGGGGGGCTCCGTGGCGTAGTCGCCGCTGCCATTTTAGTTGGGGGTATGGTCGCAGGCTCTTTGAAGAAGGGGAGGGAGGTGGGTAATACTTCCTCTCCGTGGCCGCGCAAGCCGCAACCTGGGACCTCCAGAGCCCTGAGAATTTAGGGGAGGCGATTTTCGAATGTTGGCCTCGCGCATGAGAATCCATGATCGTCTCAGGTTCTTCATTTCCTCGGTTCTCTGCAGGCTTCCCCCCTTTTCACATGGCGGGCTTGAATTTGGGAAAAGTGAGGGGAAAATCGGGCTGCTCCAAGTCAGACGCTGGGAACTCTTGGGCCTTTAGATTTCTCAGGATTTGCAAAACCCCATTTTGAGCCCTTCTGCTGAGCACTATCAGTTAGGCACCCCCCTGGGGCCACGATGACATTTTCCCTGAGGATCTGAGGCAAATGTGGTTTACTCCCTTGCTCCAATAACCCTGGGAAATTCTTTGCCAGTTATCACTGCAAGGATTACCCCAAAAGGGAGGGAAAAGCGATATCGTGTTTGTTTTTCCTTGGGTAAGGGTCGGAATTGGGCCAAATGATTTTCAAGTTAATTTCCGTTCACTCAGCCAAGCAACCCAACAACCTCCCAGCTCAGGAAAAAAAAAAAACCCTAAGGGTCTCCGCTTCTGCGGGCGGTACCTGCCACGTACGCCGTAGCTTTAGTAACTAGTATTAACTGGTTGGGCTTCTGCTTCCTGAACACTCGGTCCCTTTTTCCCTTATGCTGATTAATTTCAAGATGGAGGAGACAGCCACGTTCCTTCCCTAGACAGTTTCACCATACTTATTCCTAGTCCGGGAATCTGAAGCCTAGTAGAATTGTTATTTAGGTCATTCTTCGGTTTTGGAGCAAGAGAAAGCATTTGTACCAGGTTGTCATCCACCATTTGCCAGGCCCCACAATAATCTTTTGCTGGAAATAAGGAGCCCACATTTCCTCAATCAGAATTAACCGCAGTGGCTTCAGATTGAAGGAAGGAAGAAATAAATGTACTACTACTAATCATTTCTTCTACTCTTGGTGATTAAAGACCAAATAACTACTCGTATCACCCTGTCAGGTACATTATGTCCGTCCTGGATGACTTGAGAGCAGGCAAACACGATTATTACCCCCCTAAAATCAGTTTTCTAAACTGTAAAAATAAAGTACCCAGGAAAACCAATCTGACCACTTTTTAAAATACGATTTTAGGACACTCTTCTCTTACTGAGAAATGTTTTATTCTTTAGCCTATGATGTCCTGACGATCATTCATACTTCAGTTCCTGCCGTAGGCTTAGTGTAATGTGCCAAATAAGTACTTGAAAGTATCAGAATCTGAAAACAATTACTGGCCTGATAAGGACAGGCCTCTTTTAAGCAAGTTTATATTTAAAGGTAGATTGACTTTCAGCCTTTAAAGGAAATCTTATATCTAACATACGAGATTCCTGGTTCCCTCTGACCTCAATCTCCCCCAAATACCCTAATACTAATTGAGTTAGGTTGGATTGTGGTGTGTGTGTGTGTGTGTGTACACTAAAATATATAGGATGTGTATTTTTTTTAGGATGTGTCTATTTCAAAGAAAATGTCTATTATAAAAGAGGAAGAATAATGGATTCTTTTTTTTTCTAGAGCAGAAAGTGAAGAAAACTAAAATCCAGTTTATTGTATTACAATACTATGTCATAACAGTCAGGTAATTTATTTTTTGTTGCGTCTCCTGATGATTTATGTGTAGAATGCATGTTTAAAAATATTCTGTTTTGCAGGCCCTATAATTGGATAGGCTTATTTGATATATGTTAGTTGTGTTGGGCATTCTTCATGATGAGAATGAATATTTTTAACTGGGAATTCGGAGGGTAGTGTTTCTGAGTAGCTGGAACTTACTAGTGTTTTACTTGAATTTTCCCTGAAGCTTACCAACACTAGTATAGAACAGAAAGAACAAAATAGAAATTTGCTGCCTTAGTTCATTGTTGTAATGGGATGGGTATATGTAAGTAGTGTTTAAATGTTCAGTAGAGTATTTTACAGGAATATAATCTTACATTGTTTTGTATGGTGTTTGATTTTTTTCCTTCCAGATCCAAAAAATCATAATACATAATGCTCTAATTGGTATATTAACTCCCTTCATCATCATTGTTAAGGTAACCACATAATTTATTACCTTAGCCAGGATGCTTTTAAGAGCAAAAGGGATATTATCAGTAACTTTGCCTGAACAACAGGTGCAAACATGGATTATCCCAGGCACATTGGGATGGGTAGTTAGCCTAAATCATAACTAACTTGTATTGAATGTTTATGTGCTTAGTCCTGTGCTTCACATGCATGATATTGTAATCCTCACAGCAAAGCCTCGTAACTGTTTCACAGAAGTAACTGAAACTCAGAAGAGCTTAAGTAATTTGTCCTCAGTTAAATAGCTGATGAGTGGTAGAGCCCTCATTTTAACCCAGATCTATCTGATGCCGAAGTCACTAAACGTTAATGCCTCTAGGCTTAATTGCTCTCTAATTAGATTGAAAATGCAAAGAAAATAGAAGGTTGTAATAAAATCTGTAGGTATGTCGCATCAAAAACTTTTGTTAACACTTAAAGTGAAAAAAAAAAATCTGCTTTATGAAGCAGGTGAGACTTATTTAGCAATTAACCCTTTTTAAAAATCTGTCCTGGTTCCTTTGTCAGCTGTTACTGCTTGTGATACAATTTGATAAACCTAATTTAAAATGAGATATGGTTTTAAGAAATAGCTTAATAATGAAATGTTATCTAGACGTGTCAGACTGGTTGGATATTTCAGGTTAGTGAACGTGTAGTGAGGCCTCAATAATACAGTAGGTCAAATGGGGCATCTGCATTTATGGAATTATAATGTGTACATTACTTTTTTCATAGAGCTAGCAAATTGGGAAATAGAGCAGATCACTCACCAGCCTCCTGTTCCCTTGATTTACCATAGAGTGGATGACAGATTAGAAAGTGAAAAGTCCTCTGTCAAATCCAGACCAATGAGGTGCTAGAATTTGGGGCCGCTGCCTAGGACTGGATTGTAAGTCTAATTCCTTAACATTTCTGTATAAACACAAAGATTTTCAAAACCAAAACCTTATGGCCTATTGATTTCAAAAAGCATCCAACGTACATAATCCCTTGTCATTTTAACAACCAGTATAAGAAAGCAGTAATACTTTTATCTGTTTTTTTCTTTCCTTGTTTTTTTTCTCAACCTTGAATATGGAAGTTTCCCAGATAATCAAGCAGTTCATTTTCCTTTCATTGAGGACATGTTTTTTAAATATAAAAATCTTAGCAATTTTAAACAATCAGGGAATACACTTATGACCTTGTAGTTTTGCTCCTGAAATACATAGTTCAGAAGTATGAAATACATATATTGTGGTAGATTTTCTAGTATTTTAGAAGATTTTAATTTAATCCAACCCAAGATTTTAATTTCTTTCCTCATAATAGCACCTACATACGTGTGAGACAGATACCTGTAGACAGGACATGGTGGTATACAGACTTGTGGACTTCTTGCAATACTGTCATACCTACAGGTTGGGCTGCTCGTAGGTTGCATGGTGATGAACATGATACTTTCTGTGGGGAAAAGGAGATGTTTGTGTTCAATGTTTTTAATTTTTCTGGAATGAAAAACTGTCTCTTTCCTATTGCTCTCCACTTAACTGTTAGGAAGAAAGGAATTAATTCTGATTTAGTTTTCATTTTTTTTATTGGCCTGAGTTCCCATTAGTGTCAGTTACATCTGAGGTGACCATCTCATGGATCCAAGCTGAAACTTTTGAGAGTGAAAGAGGGCTATATTAATTACTACAGAATAATAGGTATAGACTGCTGCTCTTCTGAACAAACTGGGTATATAGGGTGTCTTGCCAATGGGTTTCATCCCTGGGCAAGTTCGCTATGGATTCAGTGTGACCAAAGAAAATGACAGGCAAAACGTTCTTGGGGGTGAAAGGGTTATACCCAACTTTATTTCCAGGTGGCAGGTCAGTCAGTCACTAGAATCCCATTCACTCAGAGCGAGTCTGTATGCAGCAAGCCAGTCTCTGCCTCTGGCCCACTGTCCTCGGCGCTGCCACCACTCCAGCCTCTCTGCTCTGCTCTCCTGCAGCCTTGCAGCCCTGCCACCGTCTTGTGCCCAGAGCATTGGGCGGAGCTCTTTTTATAGAGTCAACAGCCATGTATTGCCCACAGGTGTGCAGTGAGCTAGTCAACCATGGCCAGGTGAGAATCCTGGCCACAGGTACTCTCATTTTATCCACATATGGTCACCTGTGTCATATTTCTTTGTAAGAACACTGGTTCAGGAAGCACAGTTGTCAGCATGTTTGGTTCTGTAACACAAAGTTACTTTGCTGAAATCATGTAATAGTCATTGGTGTAGATGATACAGTGTTTTCTTTTTTGATCAAGTGATTTTAACGTTTAAAATTAGCTTCACTATCTCTTAAAAAGTTAGTTTTTGTGGAAAACTCATGTCCTTAAAAAAAGTGCTTTATTTTCTAGTTAACACCAAAATTGCCAGTAATCTTTCATTTTTACATTAATAATTTTTTTCGTAAACACCTGAACCTTATGGGTTTTTTGAGTCCTTTTTTGATTTACTGGGAATACTGAGAAGCAAGTCAAATTGAATTCATGTGGGTAAGAACCAAATTCTAATTTAGTGATACAACTCAACAATAAAAGAACTAAAGGGTAATCGAAGATTTAATTCACTGTCTAAAGTACTTGAGTGCATTGAAATGTCATCATAGAGGTCTCCTTTTTAAACTAAGTTGATCCTCTGAGTTGGCAGCATTTGGTTTGGTCTCCATGCTTTGATTTGTTGACTTAATACTCTTTCTATTGAACTGTTTTAGAAGGTTGTAGAAGTCAGAATTGTCTGTGAGCTGCAAGTCAGTAGACTTCCTGCCAAGAGATCAGACACATAAGGGGCATTTCTGAATCCTTCTGTGTTTTTTTTTCTGCTGTCCTTTTCAAGTGGTAAAGATAGAAGAATGTAAGTGAGGCTATGCTAACATTGCCACATAGGTGATGTTTTATAATCTCTGATTGCTATAGTAGTATCAGCAGTGGTGGAGGCCAATATTGGAAATAATCACAAATTGTATGGTTGGTAAGAGGTATCATGCAGTAAGTAAAGGCAGTGAAACATAAACCCTGCCCTGTTGTTTTTAAAGAGGAATACTTTATATTTTCTTTAAAAAAAAGAGTCACAGAAAGGGAATAGAGGTGCATGAGTGAAATGTCAGTGAGCAAGGCATAGCTTCTAAGCTTTCATCCTAGTTCTTAGCTTCATTTTTCTGACTTATTTCTATAATTTGATCTGGGTTATATCTTACAGTCACAGATTCATAAATCTGGAAGGTAACTTGTAGAAGTTGAATCCAGTACTCTTAATATTGATGGATATCCTGAGGCACAAGATGTTAAATGAATTGACCAAATTTATATAACTAGTTAATGTTATGACCAAGACTAGAACCCAGTGTCTCCTGTTTCTTCCTTTTCACAGAACTGAATTCCACTCTGCTACTCATAAAATAAATAAGCTGTCTGGTTGTTACCAACCGTTTATTTGTTACAAATACTGTAAAATTTTAATAAAGATTCTATATATGAAGAATTCCCAACACTTTGGGTATCTACATATATGAATGGTACTTTATATCCTGGCCTCAAATTCAGCAATTAAACTTTTCTAAAACTGCGTTAATTATTTTTCATTTCAGTGATAGTATTATTGAGCTAACGTTTTCTTTCTTGACAAGGATTGCATGTCATTAATTATCTGCTTTGTGAGGTTCTCAGTGAAGTTCTTATACACAGAATAATGCCTTTTTCAGTACAACACATTTTCATGTTAACTATGATTTTTTCTTTAATTGACATGCTCTGCTTTAGAACACTATTGAGTTTGGAGCTAGTACAAACACATGCAAAAGTTGAAAATGCTCAGAATACTTCAGAAGTTGGTTGATGTTAGGTTACCTTGATTCCTCTCTCCCACCATGCCTTTTTCTTTTTAAAAATAAGTATTTCTTCCAGACTTAAGAGATGTAGCTTATTTTTTAGGTTGATACACAAGCATTTGAATTGGAGGATTCAGTTTTGTAAAGTCTGTTGTTTCCTTAACTGGGTACTATGATGTAGTATCTCCATTGAACATAATGTGTGTGCTTATACCTAGCACCAGGTCTTCTGATGCATTAGTACCAAACAATATTTTTTAAGTGACTTTTCACCTTAAAAAATTACAAGTTTTAAAGATTGGTGTACATATTAGGAGAATAAAAAATACTTTTAGTGGTGGTCAGAAACATAGTAAGCTGCATAATTTATATTAGTATATGATAGTGACTATAGGAGAAATGAGATCACTAACAACGCTTTAAATTGCCCCAGGTGATAAAATCTGTTTCAAATTCCCTAATTAGAGTAAATCTCACCTTTGCTTTTCTTGCTGGCTTTTTCTCCCTGGAATTAAATTTACCTGAAACAGTCATTCATTCATTCATTGACCAAATGAGTCATTTTTGAAAAATGACTGGCCAAAATTTTGGCTGCTCGTTTACAGGAATGGATTTGGATATGTTGGCACACAGTACTTTGAAATAAATAAGGTTAATAAAATACACTATTTGTCCAAGGGGCAACTGCATTTAAAACAAAAATACTAAAGTTGATTTATTTAAAAATAAGTCCTGCTGCGTTCATACTGCTTATGAAAGGTGCTTTGTTAATTTGCAAGTTTTCATACCAGGAGTGAACATAGTGTAAAAAAAAAACCCTCATAGTGAGGTTGAATACTTTAGACATGCCTATTGGGATTATAGAAGTGTATTTTAAAGTATATAGTTTAGGGATATACTGGGAGGCAGTTGTCTATTTAGTGAAAAGTTGACTGGATTTGGAATCAGGAGACCTGGATTTAATTCCTTGCTCTTTCCACTTACTGGCCATGTGGCCTTTGGTAAATGCCTTCCTTTCTCTGTGTTTCTGTTTCTTGTCTGTAAAAAGAGGTGACGATTCCTACTTCATAATAGGATTGTTGTGAGGATTTAAATGGAATATAGGTGAAAGGGCTGTATAAATAAAGGATGGAGGGTATAACTATGGAGATTTAAGAACAGTTATTTATTTTAAATCATTTTATTGGTAAGCTTTTCATAGAAATATTTAAGTTTAAAAGTGGCAGGTACAAATTGTATGCCCAATCCAAAATTTCTGACTTCTATACATGAATATTAGAGCAAGGTAACTAAATAGATTTAAGATTCTTTTATAATGATAGAAGGACCCCCCCCCCCCCCAGGGGTGTGTGGGGCTTCTTTTTAACTCTTACAAGTTAAACTGGAAATATTCCACAGTGGTGTTCACCAGAGTAGAATCTAGAGACTCATTTTGTTAACATAATGCTTCACTAATATTTTTACATCAAAAGGGAGAGAGATCTGTATTTGATCATTTGGACTTTGGTCTGATATCCTTGGCATGCTTTAACCTTTCATTTTCACTTAACAAACAATAGTGACATTACATCTGTTGGGAGCTGAATTTTGTGGTTTAGATTTATTACATTTTTTCATTATATGCCACTTGGTAATGAAGGGACTGCTTAAAAGGAGACCAGGCTCACTTGGTGTATGTAAGATTATTTTACAAGGCTTTTGAGGGCACTGCTTAAACTCAGGATGTCTTTCTCCTTCAAAATATAATTACCTTTAGTCCCGGGGACCTCTGCAAGTGTTATAGCCATAACTCACCCCTTAAATATCCCTGGAGGTAGAGGTGTCTTGCCAGTGCTGAAACTTCTTGATTTCCATTCCCAGTGAAGAATAAGGGAGAAAGAATGGGAGCTTTAGACAAAAGTAGGGAACCAAATCAGGGGGAGAGATTTTTCTCTCCCTGTCTCCTAATCAGCTACAAAAAACAGACTGTTTCTTTAATGGAAACCTCTTCTTTAGCAACAAACATTGTGTGTTCTGTTTAATGAAGCCCTGCCAGTTTGGTTGCAAT